TTTGGCCCAGACTGTGGCATTGATTTGCATAAGAGTCACATACACGTTGACGTGCAAGTTCCATAAACAATATTATTTTCACTGGGGTAGTTGAATGATATACGGTACACCACATGCAAAGACATGGCTCTAAGCTATCATATATGGCGGTATGCTGAGACCGCATCTTCTGGACTCAGTGCGGGGATATTTCACACTCTTGTGGCATGAGTACATCTGTTCCTTTATCATCTTTCATTGTTATCAACATAGTTGATACTTTCGATTTCGAACGATTACTGCAAAAATGTTTCCAAGGCAAAAAGTCTGGTATATGGAATGACGGAAACCATTGACATACGAATTGATCTGGAACTGAGTGCAGTGCATTTACAAGCGTTATACCACACTTCTATTCCAAAAGCGATTTTCGTTCTAAAACATGCGAAAAATGCTGTAAATATGGGGGCCCGAGGGTGTCCCACCCTCCAGAAAGGGCCCTCTTACAGTCCTTAGTATACTAGGATCCCCTTGTCCTTAATATAATAGGATCCCCTTATAGTCCTGAATAAAAGCAAAGTAGCATATACCCGCAAACTCTATTCCAAATCTTAAGGCCCCCTGTGGTGAATTCTCGGGGGTGGCAGCTCGGGGTTCTGGTGCAGGTGTAGGCTTCAGGCTTTAGGGTTTAGGGTCTTTAGGGTTTTTAGTGTTTTGAGGGTTTTTGGGGTTTTTAGGGTCCAGGGTTGAGGGTTGCATGTAGGGTTTCAGCCCATGAAGCGAAGCCAAAAGGTGTTGGTCGGGTCTTTTTACTGCCTGAGGTCTGGGGTTCTGGCTGTCGGATGTCGGGTTTTGGGGGCTTTCGGGGTTTTGCGGTTCGAGGGTCTAGGCTTTAGGTGGCTTTTGGGTTTAGGGTTTTGGGTCTCTTTGGCTTTCGGGCCTATAGGGCGAAGGAGAGACTCAACGATCAAAGCTCCGGAGCCCTAAACCCCAAACCGCAAAGCTCTTTGGGTTTAGGTTTTGGGGTTCAGGCTTTCGGGTTACGGCTTGGACTCCCCCACCTTTTCAGAATCCCGCCGGGGATGGGCTGCGGGATTGAGTTCGCGTTTGACTCCCGCACATGAAACCGACACAGGATTGCTTGGGTCTCAGGTCAGGGGCTCAGGCTCACGGATTCAGGCTTCACGGCTTTGGACTTGCAGTTTAGGGTTTAGGGTTCAGGGTTCAGGGTTTAGGGTTTAGGGTTCAGGGTTTAGGGTTTAGGGTTCAGGGTTTAGGGTTTAGGGTTCAGGGTTTTGAATTTTCCGTTTAGCTGCCCTCAGACCGAAGCCCGAAACCCCAAATTCCGAGAACGCGAGCCCGACTCGCGGAGGCAAGGGGAAAGCGAAGGGCCCTCCGCTCAAGGGCAAGACGCTCGCTCCTAATTCAGACTTTGCCCCTAAACCTTAGACCTTAGACCTTAGACCTTAAACCCTAAACCCCCCTGAACCCTAAAACGCCGGAACCCTTCAAACCCTGTGAGGCTTATGAGGTCCAGAGATTCCGAAACCCTCTGTGCCTCAATCCGGAATATAGAAGCCTGAACAACTACCAATATTATTTACTAGGCTTCCTGCAGTCCAACACCCTGTTCTTTCGGTGTTGGCAGCTATTTCGGGTAACCGTGACGACCTGCAACATCCCGCACTGAAGCAGCATATAGCGTGTCCAAATTGTGTAACTCTGGCCTTGGATGCCTCCAACTTGAGACGCACTGGCACGGTCATCTGTACTGCGCGCTGGAGTCTGGGAAGGCTGTTACCATGTAAGTGGCCTAAACCCAACAGAACCGTTGTAAATCGATGTCAAGTCCTCATAAATCCCTATAGATCCCCTTGTACTCCCGATAGATTCTCTATAAGTCCGTTTAGATCCTTTATGAATCCTAAACCCGAAACCACTTTGCAACCCAAGCCACGCCTCGATCCTCGAGCAAAAGCGGAAACCGGCAGGGTTTGAATTTAGGGTTTAGGGTTTAGGGTCTTTAGGGTTTAGGGTTTAGGGTTTGGGGGTCTTGTGTGAAGAAAGCCATTTTCACATGCCAGCCCTTAAGAAACCTCCCGGAGCCTCGAACTCGTGGAACTTAAACCTTCAGCCACAGTCTCCACAACACCGAAACCTACGACTCTAACCCCTAAACGCAGAGCCCTCGAAGCATCTAACAAATAACCCAAGACCCTAAGATCCCTGACCCTGAAGTGCTTCTTTGACCGGAGAAAGGCCTTTAAGCAAGAAGCCTTCACGGATGTTTAGCTCTAATGTAGGGACAATTACCCATACTATTTTGGGGGTTCCTTTCTTCTAATTACACTATAATCTACCCCCCCAAAGCCCTATTCCAATTATTAAGGCCCCTACATTAAACCCTTATTGATGTGCAGGAATCACAGTGCTTGGATCTGCCATGGCACAAACCTGCACTTCGAATTTGGACTCTTTTTCAACGGCACAAAGCTGTGTTCTGCTCCTAGCTTTCCTCGACCGTGCTTAGCACTCGGACGGAATTTGGCAAGCCACATCCCGCTTCTCCTTGCTCCCAACTGCCAGCTGTCGAAGTAGACGAATCCTCTCCTTAGCTTGAGCCTCAACATCAGCATGCGGTTCCTTCGAAGAACTGGATCCCGAGTGCTGCGCTCTCGGAGGCGCAGGTTGTTGATCCCTCGGAAGCCGCTCGCTGTCTCCAGCTCGTTGTTCCAGACGTCCACCTGAGCGAACTTCAATCTCCCGCTGAATTGCCGTGGTAGTTGCATCTCTCAGCTTTTGAAGTCTTCTCAGTCGTCTGTTTTTAGAGCCCGGCGCCACATTGTCATAAGCCAACCACGCTAACCACTTCAGCAGCTCCCAGGATAAGAGTGCCAGAATGACAGCTCCCCATAAAATCGCCCATGTCACCACGCCATAGTCGACACTCATCGCTGGCTGCACAACTATTGCTCCTTCGTCTTCCCAGCTGTAGCCGTCTCCAGTTATAGCTTGCGCCAAAACCAGTAAAGCAATTAGCAACTTAGGGGAGGGATTAGGGGCTCTAGCTCTGCTGCTGCCGCTTGTTTTGCTAATGCTTGCGATCCTTCCACCGTCGCCCTCATCGCTGTCGTTGGGGTCCTGCAAGTTCATCAGTTTGCCGAGCATGCGCATCCTTTGAGAGGGAAGAGCCTTGGTCAAAATGTCCGCGATTTGTAGTTGACCAGCACAATGTATTATTGACACCTTCTGTGCTGCCACCAGCTCTGCAACCCAGGCACTGCGCAGGCGTAAGTGACGAGTCCTCCAACTTCGAGACCCATTAGCTATAGACAACGCCGATGTAGAATCTGTAAACAACTTCATGTCAATCTCCCCGGCTTGCATGTCATGTAGCATAGCTGCTGCGCTTTGTAAGGCCAAAACCGCCTCCGAAATCGCAGTGAGCTCCGATTCCGCGGTACTCAACGTTATGGTGCTCTGCCTCGCGCTTTTCCATGCCACTGCACATCCGTGGAGAAACAGGATCCAGCCTGAATGGCTTTTTTCCCCGTCAGGGGCAAAGCTCGCATCCGAGTAGCCCGTCAAGCCCGAGCCATCTGCCTGCATGACCAACACCTGGTCTATCGTCCTTTGGAGGAATGCGATGGTCTTCTCGGCTATTTGGACAGCACGCCTCGGGGCCTTGGTGGCTAACGATCCTACTAACGACGCCACGTATCCCAGATCTGGACGAGTGCGCTGCGAGACCCACAACAACTCACCGGCACACTGCTGAGCTGCTTTCAGCTCCTGCTCCGAGTAATTGGCCTCCTCCGGGTCTGTGCTGAACGTAGCATGCTCTTTTGACACGGGGATCACATCTTTCCTCACGGCAGGCAGCTGGTGGATCCTTATCAATTCTTCGATATAGGACTTCTGAGACAAGGCAAAGCCCTGTGAGCATCTCGATATTTCGATCCCTAAGAATCGCACTGTTCCCTCGGAGATCATCTGCAGATCGTTGGTCTTCCAGATAGCCTTAATCGCCGCTGCTAAGTCCTTGATGATTGTTGGATGGCCACACAATAACAAGTCGTCGACATACACCACCAAAATTCCAACCAACACAGATCCTTCTTGAAGCACGGACCACCACGACGGTTCGACCCTGCCCTGCATGAGAGTGATTCTTTTTCCACCAGAGACCAACTGTATCTGTGCCAAGCATAGGTCCCTATACATGCCCCATAGACGAGGGGACTCCTGCAACCCATACACAGCGTGTGTCAAGCGCCACAGTTCTCCCGGTAGACATAGTCCTGCTCGCACAAGTACTTTAGGAGGAACTCCATAGACCAACGGAGCCCCAGGTAGTGCCGAGAAGGGAGTCTGTAGGAACGCAGCCACAATATCCAATATTCCCACGCTCCAGCCGAATAATTGCGATAAGGCCAGTGCAGCCCGTACCAGCTCTGCCGGAGCTGTGTTTGTATATACCTCACCCGGCTGGTGTGAGGCTAGATTGCCGCATATAACAATCCTTGACTTGCGCTTGTAGTAGGCCTGCTGCGTCTCACCCTCTGATGGAGGATCCGGCGGCTTAACTGTAAAAACCGCCTTCATTGGTATGAGCTGCGCTTGACCCGAGGCGATCTCCTCCTGGACCTTGTCGTCAGTACTCCACGTCTTCTCCACCGCGTGGGCCAGGGCTAAGACTTCCTTCTTCAGAGATGGAACCCACTCGTCAAAGTTTGCGGCCACCTCCCTTGGATTCACCGTGTACACTATGCTAAGTGGAGCCTCAAGTCCTTTTAATATATCCTCCGCACCCTCCGTGAACGACACCTCCGCCTTCATGATGTAGGGACTGCCACTTGCATCGCTGTTTTCCAGAAGCGCCGTCTCGCAACCATCCAACACCAAGCACATGTCCCAACACTCCCAGTCTTCGACTTGTGTTTCTGGACCACCCCCTGTTGTCATAGCATCCGAGGAAGTCACTGGACATACGCAATCTGGATCATTGGGATCAAAGGTGTTCATGGTTACCTTGACTGCACTGCGCTCCACTACATCTTCATCAGGTAGGCTTGCTTCCCGAACTGAGAGCATGCTAATACTCACAATCGCTCCTGTACCTTCATCATACAACGGCATCGGAAAGCCTAACGTCCAGAGGTGCTGCCTATCCAGAGCTGTCAGATTTTGTAGCGTTCCTGGTGTGTAGCCCACAATGACCAGTCTCTCACCTGCCCATGGCAACACTGCGTGGCGACGATGAGGATTCAGCTGAAAGACATGCCCTTCTTGGAGAGGATACGAGCAACCATAGCGGGTTTTTCCATCCGCCGATTGTAGCTCCAAAACACGACCCTGCACCACATCACCTGGTCTAAGTTCCTGCCAAATCTCTCCACCACGCCTTGGCATAGTCAACGGGAGCAGATAGTTGAGGGTCCCAAAAGCGTTGTTCCGATCTATGTGAACTTCCCGCTCGCTATTGATTGAAACGTAGATTGCTGCAAACTCTGCTTCAGGGGCTCTGTCTAGAAGTAGCTGCAATAAGACCTTTGCGAGCCATGGTCTCTCAATTGTTGCTTTAGTCACTCCCGTCTTGCCACCAAAACGAAACATGCCGTAGACATTCTCGGATGGAGACAGGTGGTTCGATACCTCCTTGACAACCGCTTCGGCCTCCTCCTGGGACCAGGATTCCAACACTGCTTCCGCTCTGGCTTTCAAGATCTCCTCCTGGTTCACTGATAGCCTTGTAACTGCCACCACATCTCCACTACCAGCAGCTTTTCCTCTGATCCTTCTACTGGGGCCAGAGGGTTCATCCATAGCTAACTCACCATCCACAGGACCAGGATCATGTAGACGACTTCTCACATGAAGGGTATGCACAAACCTTTCCCCATCATCTTCCTTGACATAGACTAAATGGCCCTTGTGTAAGCTTTCTGATCTTCCAACATAGACTCCATTCACCCATCGTGGCGCCAGATCATCAAGCTTAGGGCCTTCCATCTGACGCTTCCGCGCAACAACCTTTGTACCAAAAGGCGCCGCTAGAGCTGGCTCAAACCCCAGCACATCTGCCCGCTGCATTGTTGCTGCTGTTGAGGCAGCCATCGGCCAAAGATGCTGTGGAAGTTCCGCTGCCAAAAGCAGCGTGCGAGCTCTTTGCTTTATCCAGCGGACCGTAGCTTCGGCTGCGCCATTGGTGCGGTGGTCGCCGGCCTCAGACGTTGTAACTCTGATGCCTTGCCTCTTCAACCATTGCTTGGAGGCCTTTGCTTGAAATTCCATCCCACGATCTGAGTGGAAGCGTAGCACTGGTATATTTAATGCATGACAGTAGAGCACCACATCCTGGATAGCCTCTAGCACTGTTGGGGCCTTCTCATCCTTTATGCCAGCCGCA